GGATCTCTGACACCAAAGTGAGTACCTCAGAGTATCAGTAAGTTGCTTTGAGACTCTAAATTCTATAGCAACTGAATTAATAAGAGTCTAGAACATTCTCCCTTGGTATCTATAAGTACATTCACCCTGCAAACATGACTAATATGTTAACACGAATCCTGATTTTTCAGAGTTGAGAAACGAAGCCAGTTCCTGGATCTTACAGCCACTTTCCAAGAACGATCACATCTACAGTCCCGACAACTGCTGACCTGCTATAGGACTTGGACCCACGACTGCGTTTGAAACAAGTCGCCAAACAACCGACACTTTTTAAATAATTAATTATTCTTGAAACAAGCACTGTTTGAAACGCGTAAGTCGGACGGACGGTAGATGTCGAAGGATAAATAGAGCAACCAATGTTTACCTTGGCCTCTGGCACTCCGATGGCGACGTCACGACACTTTTTTCGCGGCTCGAGCGACGTTACGCGAGCGTTCCAGCGCGTTCGAGCGTAGAGAGGATCCGCGACGCCAGTAACACGCGTCCGTAAGGGAAACCCAGCCAAGATTGATACTGGTCGTGACCGTTCCGTGCCAGCGAGCGTTTCCAAGCGGGTGTAGGCGGAGTCACGCCGTTCGCGGACCCCACTGCTTATCGACGCCCTCCCGCGCTCGATTCCGCGCTGTTTCTCCGCCTCCGCCGAAGCCAGAAGTGAATCCTCAGGTTCGCTCTGCCTTGGTCACCACGGGAATTGAAGAAATTAGAAAAGGGGAGTTGGTTCTTTCGTCATATTTCAAGTAAACCGATAAGGGAATGTCGGTAGGTTAGATTTGCAAGAGCGAGGCTTGAGAATTCTTCCAAACAAAGTCGTACTCTCATTTTTTAAACATTGGATTTTAAGTTTAGAGAAAAATTCTATATATGTTTTTTGTAAGATTTCATGAGATCTGCAAGGAGAAAAAGTTTTAGTTCAAAATGTTCATTGTTAAGACAGCTACAAGCCATGGAAGGGGGCTAAGCCGTGGGAATTCTCAAAGTAGTCATTCCTCCATTTTTTAAAAATTGGCTCTTCAGTTTAGAGAAAAACTTTATACATGTTTTCTGTAAGGTTCCATGAGATC